GGAGTGGCCCTTCACATTTTCACCTTCTTCTGTATCCTGAGTATCTGTCACATGGCCCCTTTCCAGTTTTGTTTATTTGTTTGTTTTAATCAAACCATGACCTCTGAATGAATGAATTATTGAAATCCTACATTTTCTATTTCAATCAAAGTTTCTTCTTAGTTGTATTCTATATTCATTTCTAGTATTTAAATCTCTGTCTTGCATTTTTATAGTCATTACACAGGTTGATTATCCATTATCTGAAATGATTGGGATCAGAAGTGTTTCCAATTTGGGGGTTTAGAGATTTGGGAATATTTGTGTGTGTGTGTGTGTGTGTATGAGAGAGAGAGAGAGAGAGAGATATCTTTGAGATAGAACCCAAGTCTAAACGCAGAATTTCTTTCTTTCACATGTGCCTGATATACATAGCCTAAAGATAATTTTATACAATAGTTTTAATAATTTTATATATGAAAACAAAGTTTGTGTTCATTGAACCATCAGGCTTGTGCAGTATCTTGTTGGCACTCAAAAGGAATTTAGATTTCAGAGTGTTTCAGATTTTGGATGCGCAGCCTGTTTTACCACCTGGAAATTCACAATATAAAGGAAACTGTAATTTGTTGGACTAATTCCATCTCGACTACTTGGATTTTTCCTATTTTCTCCTATAAGCAACTATTAAAAATGATTGTAGAAATATTTTGTGTACGTTTATTTCCTTGGGAAAAACTTACAAAAGAGGATCACAGGGTAAAGGTGCTGCACACCCAAATTTAGTTATGTTTTGTGTCTAGTAGTGCAAATGTGTTGTTCCTATTTTTATCGATGAAACTTAAAACRTTTGTCAAATTAAAGGAAACACACTCCTGGGATTATTAAAAGTAATGACTAATGTTAATATCTCAGCCTCCCTCCTGTGAAATATTGTATAGCTTTGTGTTTTCTTTGATCTTAGTGTTAATTTTTATAGCTTTCTTCCTACATTCTCTGAACATACCCTTTTAATTACTAGGACTTGAGGGCATTATTTATTTTTTTTAGCAATTTCTTTAAAAAAATGTTTAGTTGTTGATAGACTTTTATTTTATTTATTTATTTTTATGTGGTGCTGAGATTTGAACCCAGTGCCTCATACACGCCAGGCAAGTACGCTATCACTGAGCCCCAGCCCCAGCAATTCTTTTTATTTTAGAGATTTTTAAAGTGACATTCTATTTGTTGATTTATTTATTTTACAGTAGAACGCATTTTGACATATTGTACACAAATGGAGCACACCTCCTCATTCCTCTGGCTGTACATGCTGCTGAGTCACTCCAGTAGTGTAATCATATGGGTAGTGTAATGTAGGGTAATAATGTCAGTCTCATTCTACTGTCCTTCTGTCCCCACAGCCCCATCCCTCCCCTCACTCTCTTCTACAGAAACCAAAGTTCTTGAGGGCATGTTTTCCATTGGTGTAGTGGCTACATCAATAGCCATCATACGCAATCATATTTCTATTAAATTTTTAACTGGTTATCACTGGTTCTGTACGGAAGCTCTGTGTGTGTGAAATTTGTGAATAGAACAGACCTTCCAGGTGAATATTATATCTTTGAGATAGTTGGTTTCATATATGCAWTTCTCTTATAATTTTGGTAATTGCCTGGGTTTTTTTTCTGTTTTTCTTTTTTTACTAAAATAATGTGAGGTAGTAGAGATGACATTAAGTAAAACAGAGAAATGCAGTGATATGTAAATATGTGTTTTTTTAATAATTTGACAAAAGATTCTAAAGTTTTTTTGGGAGAGAAAAGAGGAGCAACAGTGCGAAACTTTTTGCTTGATAGCAGAAGTCGTAGTACTAAAATTGTGATTTGTCATTGAAAGCGTATAGCTGTGAATCTGTTCCTTCCATTGAATATGTCTCCCCCACAAAATCAAACACATGTTGAATTTTATCAAATKCCCTTTTGGCTGCATTCAAGATAATTACACCTTTGCTTTTCACGTGTGTTTGTGATGTATCAGTATGTTCACTTCCTAATTTTAAGCCACCCTTACATTTTTGGAATGTATCATATTTCTAAAAAATTTTAACAACAATATCAGTATATTCAATATTTCTGCRTCTGCATTTGTTTTCCAAAGGGGCACGAGTCTATAAAGATCTCAAACTTTTGGAGGCTGGGGATATAGCTCAATTAGTAAAGTGCTTATCTTGCATCACAAGGCCCTGGGTTCAATACTCAGCACCACCAAAAAAAAAAAAAAAAAAATCTTGAATTTTTTTCTATTATCCAGGTAAACTTGCAGTTTTTTTGCCATATAAGAGGACTTGGAAAGCTGGGCATTGGCTCCTGCATAGCAACCTAAACAAATGAGCTCATGGAATTGCCATCCGTGGAGAAGAACTTGTTAATTTTGTCACGATCCCAGATGCTGATAGGAAAGGATGGCTATAGGAAGGAGTGTGTGGTAATCGTCAACTTGATGACAATCACTGAGTCCCAGGTTTGGTGGACACAAGAGGAAAGTGCTGTGTACCTTGAATCTTMTTAATGAAATCCCAAGGAAAATATCAATCCTACTACTAATGACAGCAAATGGGCATTGTACTCCTAGAGTGCTGTTACTCCCAGTGGCACAAAGCTCTTCACAATTAATTGTTGCAGTCATCCTCCTCGTAGTCCCCTGAGGTGGGTGCCTGAGTGCTTCCTCATTTAAAAAAAAAAAAAAGTTAATTAGATTTTCCTCTGTTCCACATTCTGTGTTCTAGAATTAGGTGCCGACCTTAYAAAGCTCATCTGTATGTCTACGGAAGAAATGGGGTTTCAAAACCACAAGCTTCTTTCTCATGTGAACATCAGACTAGGAGCACACGTGAAGTATTGATGGGGATTTGACTGATAGCTTGGCAAGATGCTCTGATGGATCAGGCGAGGGTTGATGAAGCGACAGGCAGTGGTTTGAATTAGAACTTTGGTGCCTACTAAAGTAGTAGTCCGTGGTGTTGAAGGTTTGCTATTGAAACTATCTTTCGGTGGCACCTTTTCACGGTGCTGCTGCTTCCCACACCACTGTATATACGAGGGAGGGCACTCTAGAGAATATGTGAGGCCAGAGGGCTTTGGACTTTCTCATCCTGCTTTAATGTATCAATAGCGGGAGGCTTTTCAAAGGGACAAGAGGCAGGCAAGATGTTGAAAGCTAGTGACATCTCTCCGCCAAACTCGTCCTCCAGCCATTCTCCAGTCATCTATTAGGTCACCTTCCCTCCATCTTCTGCTTTCTCAGATATGGACCGTGTCAGTGAGGGGAGACTTCTTGACAGGACCAGAATAAATTACAACTCACCTACATTTTTTTCTTTTCCGTAACACTGGGGACTGAACCCAAGGCTGCTCTGTCCCTGAGCTACATCCTACATCCCTACCCCCCTTTTTATTTTATTTTATTTACTTTAAAACAGGGTCTTACTGAATTGCCACAACTGACCTTGAACTTGTGATCCTCCTGCCTCGGCCTCCTCCCAAGTCGCTGGGATTACAGCGTGCACCACTGAGCCCACTTAAGCCTACATTTTTATCTAGTCATCAGTTTAGCCCTTGCCTTCCTTTGACAGTATGTATTCAGTCTTCTCCAACAGTTTGTTGCTTTGGTTCTATCTCTTCAGTTAGACTACAAGCTCTTTGGCTGAATATCCAGGTATTTTAGCTTATTTGAAACCCCCTTTAAATCCCCTCATATATCCTTCAGCAGATGCACAGTAAACACTTGTAGTTATTCTGTTTACCACTCATAGCTGTAAATAAATATAGCCTGTACCTACTAAGGGTGCTGTTTTAAATTTTCTCTTTTTTCTTTCATTAAAGAAAGACTTAGCTGTCACTATGTTGAATTTTTTCGTCCTATTTTTCCTGAAATTGCCCTGRAAAGAGAGTCCTTTAAAATTCTAAGGATTATGCTAAAGTTGTGCAGTGTACTCAGGGTGGGGACTAATTACAAGGTTTGAAAACCTCTTCAGGTGGTGGTTCCATAGTGTGACTAAAATACTGCTTTGCTAAATTAAGAACAGCTGGAGCATGTTGCTAGCTAGTATAAGAGAGTTGGTGGTGGTGCTCTGTGTCCCAAAGAAGTCTTTGCTCTTTGGAGCCTGTGGAGCTTAAGCCAAGCTTACCCTTTCCTCATCAGTGTCACGGTGAGTAAGTGCCCCCAAGCRAGTCCTCTGGATGCCAGTTTCTGTTGTTGGATAGAAACTCTGATGGTTGCGTCAGATATTGTCAGTTACTAATTTACCATGACTTTGTAGTAAAAGATCTTATCCTTAAAACAGCTTGCTTTCTAAATGAAACATGGACAAGGTTCTGTATTTCTTTTCGCTAAGTTATTTTGAAGGCTGCCAACTTTTCCTGTGCATGGTGTGCATCTCTGAATATGCAAGGATAAACTGAGGCAGTGCTATTCTAAATACCCTGAATGTCTTGCTCTGGAATCGGTTCTTAAATGTAGTCACCAAAAGGACATCCGTGTTTTCATCAGAAAATAGACTATTTTGACAGATGCAGAGACTAACAGTTATTCYGTGCATGGACGATTGAAGCAACTCACCAGAGTTTTTAATTTTTTCTTTAAGGTTCATAGAAAAGATACAGTCTTAGGAGAGAATGATGTGATCTCTGGGCAGGTTCTAGCTTATTATGACTTCATGATTAGCAACAAGTAACACAGTCTGAAGTGTTTACAATGTTGGGTCCTGTCTTTTATTTAAAGAAATTTAAAGGGAATTGATAGTTAAAATGTTCCTATTTATACTGACATCAGTTCAAAAAGAGACAGGAATACCAGGATTAAACAGTTCAATGTTTTGTAAACAAATTCAATCTCTGCAATGTCAACTGTGTTCTAACAATATCTTTATAAAGCAAATGGCTTTGGTATTTGTTTCCTTATTTTGAGAATGTTTTTGTTTCGGAATTTTGATAATTGGACAAACTTATTATCTGAGCATAGTTTTGTTTTATTTTTAGGTGGGATAGTAACATCTTTTGGGGGAACGAGAATTGGCTTCCTTTCGTAAGAGTGGTGGACGTGCAGCAGACAGCTACATGGCAGGAACAATAATCAGATGGCTACCTTCTGCATTTTGTATTAGGAAACAAAATCAATTATAAGAGTCCATGTTGATCTTGGAAGTAGAAGGATTCAAAAAAAATAAGTTACCACAAAGAACAAGAACTTTACCATCTCCTTTTTGATCTGAAGACTGGGGACAATGGATATCATAGAGACAGCAAAACTTGAAGAACATTTGGAAAATCAATCCAATGATCCTGCAAACACCTACACAAGACCTGCTGAGCCCGTCGAGGAAGAAAACAAAAATGGCAATGGTAAAGCTAAGAGTTTATCCAATGGGCTGCGAAAGGGCACCAAAAAGTACCCGGACTATATCCAAATTGCTATGCCCACCGAGTCGAGGAACAAGTTTCCCCTAGAGTGGTGGAAAACGGGCATTGCCTTCGTGTACGCACTCTTCAACCTYGTCTTGACAACAGTCATGATCACAGTTGTGCACGAGAGGGTCCCTCCCAAGGAGCTCAGCCCTCCCCTCCCAGACAAGTTTTTTGATTACATTGATCGGGTGAAATGGGCATTTTCTGTATCAGAAATCAATGGGATTATATTAGTTGGATTATGGATCACCCAGTGGCTCTTTCTGAGATACAAGTAAGTCTTTCTTGTTTTCTTCCTAATAAGTTTAGTGACACTTAGACAAAAAGTGTTAACTGAGCAATCAAACTGGCAAGGATACAGCAGTACTGTGGTGGATGACTCAAAGAGTGTTTGAATTTAATGCCCGGCTCCTCATTTCTAGCAACTTGGGTGCTAGGGCATTTGTATGATAAATCCAGAGCCATCGAAGGGAATAGCATACACTCTTGCTTGGGTTATTTCAGGCTCTTGACAAGTGGGGAAAGGGAGGAGGCTGGGAAACTTTTTTCCTCCCTTATTCCTAATGAGATGACTATCCAGCTTTGAGGTTTGCCTGTCTTCAAAAGTCCTCAAGTATTAGGTTTTTGGTGTTTTTGTTTTTTGCTTTTTTTGGCCTGTGGGCCACCCAGTCACAAATGTTTGTTTAAAGAAACTGAATTTAGAACTGGGTCCCTGTGGTTTGGGTTTTAGATTTCTAAAGGAAACTTGTCTTCTGGTTTCACCTCAGCACCACAAAGGAGCTCAGAGTTCACTGGGTTCGGCTGTTCCCCCACCCCTGTCTTGGAATAGGAGGAATCAGGAAGTGTAGTAGCCAGCGTTTTTGCTTTGAAGACACTTGAAAATTGGACATAGATCTAAAGCGGTTATTCATGCTTCTCTGTGTGAATTCTGACTTCTGGTCCATAAAAAACGAAGACCCCTCAACTCCCCTTTCATCTCAGTCATTAAATATTTGCTTTCTACTAGGATTCTAGCAGTTAAATCACTGAAATATAGGAGTTTGATCCAACCACTACCCATGGTCTGGGGCTTTCAAAATATATGATGCATGCCGAGTTGATATAGCTTGAGGATTCCAAGTCAATTAAGGTTTCAGTATGATTGCCACAAGATGGTTTTTAGAAGGGAGAGCTTATGCCATGTTGTTCTTCCCRTTCTTTGTTGCTTTGTGATTGGAGGAATTCAGTCTGTCTTGGCCAGAGACTTTCTCAGGTGCAGCCTTGAAAACTTATTCTACAAACTGAAGTCATTCTTAAGCATTTTCTTTCACATTACTTTCATGGTATGTTTTAAGTAAAAGAGCTGATAATTGTGTTTTACTTAGTGAAGGCATGCTATATGTGAAAATCAAAGAATATATTTGTTGAATGTTAGTGATTTTCTTTTCAGTATCTGGAATTGATACACTGAACATAGGCCTGCCCAGGCCATAGGTGGTTTTTTTTTTTTCTCCTATAATTTGCAGCAAAATTTTGTTCCTGTATATAAAAAGAGACATTTTCCAGGGTCTGGTAAGTAGAAAAAAAAAAAGTAGCTGAACTCCACCCTGAAGTGGAATCTTCACCTTGGCTTATTTGAATCATCATCTAGACATTCATTTCCTCTCCGATACCAGATTAAGTTTCCCTATGTCACAACTCATGGGCATATACTTAAGCCACACATTTTTTTTTTCTTTTTTTGGTACTGGGGATTGAACTCAGGGGCACTAAGCCGCATCCCCAGCCCTATTTTGTATTTTACTTAGAGACAGGGTCTCACTGAGTTGCTTAGGGTCTCACTAAATTGCTGAGGCTGGCTTTGAACTTTTGATCCTCCTGTCTCAGCCTCCTCAGCTGCTGGGATTACAGGTGTGTGCCATCACACCATACATTTTAATGGTATCCAGTGWTTTAGTCACAAGTCACATGAGTTTACCTTTTTATATCTCTTTTATTCATTTTTGGTACTGGGGATTGAACCCAGGGCACTTAACGACTGAGACACATCCCCAGCCCTTTTGTACTTTTTATTTTGAGACAGGGTCTCCCTAAGTTTTTGAGGCTGACTTTGAACTTGGGATCACAGGCATGCACCACCACACCCAGCTTTACCTCTTTTAGACATCTCAGCCCAATGAGAAATTCTTCTTTGCTCTATTAAAAGCACCTTTCAAAGCTGTGGGAAAGAAATCATAAGCAGTGGTTATTTTTCTACATAATGCTACAGAGTGCTTGTTTCACCTAAGTTTTCTGTTCTGAGTATAGCTAAACTCAGAATGCTGGAATGAATATAATGAACTTATAATTTTCTGCTCATTCCTTGACCTTGTCTAAAAGCAGGCAGCACAATTCAAACAGCACTCCTCTGGGACCTGTGATTGAGTCAAAGGGTGAATTGTTCTTCCTTTAACCAAGTGGGGAGAGAGCACTATTTGTTACCTTGCTCAGTAGGAGAAAAGGCAGAGCTAGGATAGCAAGTCTTGGAATAAAGAAATTCTTTCATAGTCTAGAGAGTGTTCTTTTTTTTTTTAATCCCAGAAACCCTGAAACATTCTTAAAATAGCTACTGGTGTCAGGCAGCCAAAATATGTATTTGTACATAATTCTTTAAATTAGAATATTCAATAGTTACCTGAATTAGAACTTGATCCATGTCAGAACCACAGTCTTTGGAAAAACTTCAAACATGTCTCACCCTGAAATTCACTGTGATTCCAGAAGTCTTTGATCAGTCCTACTTTGGAAAGTCTGGTAGCTCTGAGTGGGAAAATTGCAATAGTATATTTTATGTTCTGGAGAAGTTATAACTAGCAACCCAGAGGTTAAAGGAATCCCACTCATTTTCCATTCTCAGAGCCAGAGCTTCTAGACCAAACAAACAAGAAAAAAGGGACTGTCACCTTGAGCTGARAGGACACTCAGACCCCTTGATGTCTACCTAGGCATTTTTGTCTTTCTTTACTTTTAAATGATTTTTAACTCATACATAAAAATGTTAAGAAAAAATTGAACTGTCATGTGATGTTTGAATACATGTAATATTTTTTTAAATACATTTTTTAGTTGTAGATAAATGCAATACTTTTATTTATTTTATGTAGCACTGAGGATCAAACCCAGTGCCTCCCATGTACAAGTCAAACGTTCCACAACTGAGCTACAACCCCAGCCCTATATGTAATATTTTTTAAAATAATTTTTTTAGTTGTAGTTGGACATTTATATATTTATTTTATTATTTTTATGTGGTGCTGAGGATCTAACCCAATACCTTGCACATGCTAGATGAGCACTCTCCTGCTGAGCCACAACTCCAGCCTCCTTATACGTAATATTTAAATAAAATTAAACATACCCATCTCCTCAACATTTATCATTTCTTCATAGTGGAAACATTTAAAGTCCTTAAACATTTTTTATGAAATATGCGGTACATTAATGTTATCTGTCGTCACCTTACTGTGCAATACCACACCAGGACTTCTTGTTCCTGTCTAACCATTGCTTAGAACTCACTGATCAACCTCAACCCATTCCTTCTGCTCACCTAACCTCCTGTGCCTCTGGCAACACTGCTGTACTCTCAACTTCTGTGAGATCAACTTTCTTAGATTCCCCATGAGTGAGATCATGTGGTGCTTGTCTTTCTGTGCCTGGCTTATTTCACTTAATATGATGATCTCCAGTCCCATCCGTATTGTCAGAAATGACAGGATGCCATCATTTTATGGATGAATAGAATTCCCTGTGTATAGGCACTACATTTTCCGTATCCATTCATCAGTTGATGGGCACTTAGGTTATCTCCATTTCTTGGTTATTGTGAACAGTGCTGCAATAAACACAATCAAACTKCATACAAAAGCTTCGTACTCCTCTTTTTCCTCTTTTATGGAGATTGAATAAAAGTAAGTAAATCAATTTACAGCTTCACTATTAAATGTCCTTAACATATAAGGGCACTTTGGACATCTTCAAAATGTAATTCTCTGGAAATTTGTTTAGTCAGAGAAAATATAGTTCATTTCCCAAGTTGTCAAAATACCTTCAGATGGTCCCCAAATAAACCTTGTTTATAGAATTTGAGTTTAATGGGTTGTCACATTTCCCTGTGTGTCCAATTATGTCACATCACCTGGCTCATTAGTTAATTCCTTTGTGACTGTGGCTCACTTATATCTTTGATATGTCCTTGAGGGTTTTATTAATCAATGAGTTGACTGAAAACATAGAAGTCATTGAATTTGCTGGCAAAGAGTGACATTTTTTTAAGAGAGAGGGGATCATCTAAATTCCTGGTCTACTTTAATGCCCACACTCCTACACACTTAGTCATTTTGGGCTCCAAATCACCTACATTTATTGTAGCACATGAATCATTATTTCTGGAAATGGAAGTACAGTATCACTGTGGAATTACAGAATGAACAGCTCATAGCCTTTAAATTGTGTGAAACTGGTTTGTTAATGCTATTCTTAATTRTTTTTTAACCTGTTAAAGTTTTCTTTCTTGACTTAGGTTTTATTGATTGCATTAAGAACAAAAGCAACCAGTAAGCTTGTCTTTCCCCATCTCTCTTCTTCCTTTAGGTCAATAGTGGGGCGCAGATTCTTTTTTATCATTGGAACTTTATACCTATATCGCTGTATTACAATGTACGTTACTACTCTCCCTGTGCCTGGAATGCATTTCCAGTGTGCTCCAAAGGTAAGCAGCTTTGCATTCCCATTTAGAGGGAATCACGAAAACAGTTACCAAACACCCACTGTATGGTACATTCGTATACATACTTTCATAGGTGCTCACTGAAATCTAACATTTTTTTTTATGTTTCTTTAGATTGTGGGAAGAAATCAAAATTGATAAAAGTACATCTTTGTGTATAAAAATATAATTTTCTGCTAACTGAACATTACCATCATTTTTCTTTTCTGCTTTGTAACCTCATTTTCTTATACATTCATGCATTCATTCTACAAATATTGAGCTTATGTTCCCAGGCCCAATAAATACCAAAATGAAGTCCTGCCCCTAGAACTAATGTTCTATTGAAGGATGACAGATGATAATTTCAGATGTATCACATGATGATTAGTCAGGTGATTGTCTGATGAGGGGCAGTAAGTGGGTAGGAACTATTTTATAGAGAGATAAGGAAAGACTTCTTTAATAAAAGAGCATTTGAGCAGGAACCAGGCAAGGGAACAGCCCCAGGATGGGATATGAGCTCCAGGCCAAGCAAATATTTCAGTTGCTTTGGGTCAGAGGAAAAGCAGGGAGTTTGGGGGCCAGTAGTGGGGGTACACACCACAGGTTTCAGAGGCTCTTATGACCCACTATAAGAACTTAAACCTGAATGGTGGCAGTGAAATTGATGAGAAATCATTTAATTCAGTATATATTTTGAAGGCAGAATCAATAGGCTGTGTTAATAAGTTGGATATGGATTTGAGAGAAAACAGTCAAGGATGACCCTCAAAGTTTTTAGCAGTTGTAAAAGGCAGGGTAGCCTTCTGCAAAGACACTGTATGGGAATGTCTCCTGAAACTGCCCTGAGCAGCAATCAATTTCTGTCCTGTTGAGAGAGCCGTTAATCCCCTTAGACCTTTGCATACCTTGATTGATGCTTCTCCTTAGGTTTGTGCATCTTTAATTCCATATCCAGTAACTGCATAGACTTGCTTATAAAATGGAAGCGTACAAATCATGTGCTTTCTAGACAGGGAATGAAGTCTAACATCATATTTTACTGAACACTAAGCAGATGTCTGAGGTAAAGGAAAAAATAGAGTTGTTCTGAAGAAGCCAGCAGTCTCCCTTACCAAACATAGGTGTGGTTGGGAGAAGCCGTAATTTTCCAAAGTCATCAAAGCAGAAAGTGTCTGTAATTAAAACAGTGTACACATTGGCTGCTTTTTAGTGAAGCTAATTCAAGGCATGGGAGGAGTTCAGAAGCACAATAAACTCTTCTAATGTCCTGTTGTAGTGTGTTGAGTGAAGAAATGGCCACAGGAAAAAAAGGGCAAGCCCATCCTTTTAATGGATGAGGTTTGCAGGGATGGATTGCTATGATTATGGAAGGGACAGTAGATTAAAGATTACCCTCCATGAGAGAGGTGCAATTTTCAGGACCCACATCGGTAAATGTGCTGTGGGATAACTGAGCCACAAACATTCCTGATGGAAACTTGGGGAGCTTCCTTAACTAATCATCTGCTGTGTTCACTTGTCAGCACCTCTTCCCAAAGCACAGGCAGCTGTAGGTTCTGGTTCCAGATCATTCTGCCTGATTAGAGATGAGGTGCTACAGAACAGGAGTTTGGAATTGCATTCTAAATGTGGTTCACCGGCTGGCACCGAGTGCCGCTCAGAGTTTTGTGGCTAGGAGGCTGTGAGATAATCTACCTGTTGCCTGTGCTTCTGGCTCCATGGCATGCCCTTCATGATGAGCCGTGCCAGGGCTCTGTGTACTGAAATCACTCACTATCGGAGGGTGTCCCAGCTAGTGACTGGCTCCTGCAGTTTGCAATCCACCAGATGTGATCACAGGAGTCACCATCGTGAACCCGTGACTTCCACATTTTACCCCCTCTCTCGTCTATCCTGCAGCTCACTTTAAGTCCTTTACTTAAAATTTGCTTCAGCCACCAACTCCGGCTTTGGTTTCCAGTCAAGACTTTTGTATTTTTTCAATGTGTATTTAGATAAATCTTGGTTTATTGATTATGAAATGATTTTATGAGATCATTTAGTTTTTCTAAATCCTTTTGACCCAAGAATGTTTGGCTGGGATAGCATGGGTTCCTTCCCTGGGAGAGCTCTCCGGGGCAGCTCTCCCCTCTATCCCAGCCATAGATGGCCAAAAACCTCTCTCCTTAATGAAAGGGACAGCCTGTAAGTTTCTGATTTAGCAGACCCCATATTGGGCTCTCCTGCACCTCAGTTATTTTTATGGGAGGTGTTTAATGGAGGTCGCAGTTGTAAGAACTCTTAGGAACATTGGAGCCCTAGTCTGCTTGGCTGTTTTGATTGATGCTTCTCTTTAGGTTTGTGCATCTTTAATTCCATATCCAGTTACTGCACAGACTTGTGTCTGAAAACAAAGAAATTAATAGTATTGAGAGTCTTGTGACATGTGATGGGGAGGCCCAGTAAATTGGAAAAGAACTAGAAAAAATAAATCCATTAATTCTAACACCCATTATTCTCCTTTTCTTCACCAGTTTTTTTTCTTTTCTTTACTTGTGGTTTTATTTAGCATTTATACTAAGCATGAATTGATGTATTAGGATTGGCAGTAATAGTACTGAGGAATTAAGAAGACAAGAAGAGAATCCTTCCTCTGTTCTGAAAAAAACCATATATAATCAAGTGGATCAGGAATCTCCATTCAGTAGCCCCCACTTATCTGTGGGGAGTATGTTTTAAGACCCGCAATGGGTGCTGAAACTTCAGATGATATTGAACTCTAGGTATACTATGTTTTCCCCATACATACATATGTACATATGAGTAAAGTTGACTTATAAATTAGGCACAGTAAGAGATTAACAATAACTAATGATAGAATAATTATAACAATACTGCAATAGAAGTTATTTTAAAACTAATGAATATTTTTTCAGGAATTTTTTCATTTAAACTTTCTGACTGTGGTTGGCACAGTGAGCAACTGAGATTTTGAAAAACAAAACCATGGATTTGGGGAGGGATGTCTGTCCACCAACACCACTGAATGCAGAGGAAAGGGGGCGTGTGGTTTATCTCAGCTCCTAATTTCTTTACACCGTTGACCCCAAGTAAAGGGACTGAGGGCTTTAAGCGTTTTTGCCTTCAGAAAATTATAGAGTTGGGATATGTGAGTAGAGAAAAAAAATGTTATGGTTTTGAAATGAAGAATAATATGTCCTTTGAAACTGGGAACACAATGGTTGGACAGAGCGTATGTACCTTTTTATTTGATCTCAGTGTTGGCAGTAGTTGTTCCAACCTCATCAGAAGAAATTCCTCATGTGGCCCATCTGATAAAGCACATGGCTTGACTGAATCCCCAATACCAAGGGCATGTCGCAGTGTTAATAGCTTGTCGCCTGACTTCTATGCCTGAAGCGAGTCATGCAACTCTGTCAACAGTCTGCATGCTTTTGAAACTCCTTTAAAGCCTACAGTTGCATTTCCCACCCTTCCTCTAAGCTTGTGTTGTCATTTTCTACGCAGCACCTTGTTCTTAACTGCCAAGCAATCTGGTATGTTCAACTTTTTACAATAGTCTCTTCAATACCAGAAGGCTTTCTGGATCCATAAAATTTTTAAACATTTTTTTTTTATTTGTAGATGGACACAATTCCTTTATTTATTTATTTATTTATGTATTTATTTAATGTGGTGCTCAGGATCGAACCCAGTGCCTCACACATGCTAGGCAGGTGCTCTATCACGGAGCCACAAGCCCAGTGGCCCCCACCCCAATATGATTTTTTAAAATCAGGACACTTTTGTACCATAAGAGGGATCTTTTAGGCAAGGATTCTTGACCCAGTTCCTTATTGTCCTGGATAGGATGGTTTGCCACCTGCTTTGGGGACTGACTTATTTCTCCCCTCCTAGACTCTCGTCCCCCTGTGCACATTCTGACCCTCCCACATTCATGCATCCACTTGCATAAGATTTGACTGTGCTCGCACCACCAGAGTACCACTATGGAGGTTGGGCCAGCCAGGAGTCAAGGGTCAGTTTCTCAGAAGGATCATCATTGAGTACAAAAAGCAGCATGTCATAAGCCTGTCCCCCAGGTTCCTAAGAAGTAGTCAGTCATGGGCTCTCTGTGTTTCTCTTCCATTCACACTATTTCTTGATCTCTCTCCAAGTATCCTTTGATTTTCTAAGCCTCTCGGTGCTTTTCTAGACTCATCTGAAACCTTTCACGTAGCTCCCCCCAGCATTTCTGTATTCCGGTTTTCTATGTCTACTGTTTTGACCAACTCCTTCCTGTGTGCTTAAAGTTTAATAGGGTTAGTAAACTTTTGCCCATTGCCTGCACTTCCTGCCTTAGCCCAACATTATTTTCCATTTCACCATAATGATTTCTAGGAGGTTTATAGAGTGCCCCTGACCACAGCAGCCCTCTCTTGATCCTGCGCCTCAGCACATGGGTTCTTTTGGGGATGTTTTCCCTGATCAAAGCTAGTCATTTTTAAAACTGCCAGTACATCACTAATCTGTCATTTTCAATCCTATTTGAATGATTTAATGAGTTGCAGCTCTTCTTTTTTTTAACTGTAGTGTTTTGATCGTCTGATCAAAATTAATATAATAATTAATATAATAATTAATATAATAATAAATATAAAAATTAATATAGCTGTTAGGTACACTTGAGGCTGCCCACTTAATACAAGATTCGAAGGCACTGCAGAATCTTAGTAATGTGGTATGCAACAGAATAAAATATTAACTGTCCCAAACCTCCACTTCCCCCCTACAAAAAGGAAAGAAAGTAGCTTTGATCCGCTTTTTAGTGCATAACTGTGGTGAAGTCATTGGTTATTAATATTTTTAAAAGCTTTGCCCAAGGACACAATGCCACCAAAACATATTATTAGCAACATATTGAATAATTTAAAATGTGTCAATAAAGTTGGCCAGGTTGGCAATGCATGGAATCTAATTTGAGGACCTTCCCCTTGGATTCTTTTTGACATTTTAGGTTAGAAGGGAGGGAAAAATCACAACCTGGTGACCTTTCTGTCACACACTTAGGCTGAAACATAATTTTTATCAGCTTGTGAATTTTCTTCTGAATCTTCTTGTGTCATTCAGCTCAATGGAGACTCTCAGGCAAAAATACAGCGGATTCTCCGGTTGATTTCTGGTGGTGGATTGTCCATAACTGGGTCGCACATCTTGTGTGGAGACTTCCTCTTCAGTGGTCACACAGTTGTGCTGACACTTACATATTTGTTCATCAAAGAATGTAAGTAATAGCTCATTTCCATGTAATTGATTGTTGTAGCAGAGGGGGGTCCCTTGGCTCTGAAATGAATGGGAGAGCCCTTATTCTATTGGGGTTAATAGCTATGAAAAACACAGATGTAAATACTTTGTGTGTGTGTGTGTGTGTGTGTGTGTGTGTGTGTGTGTTATCATTTCAACTAAGTATTTGTGACCACCAAAGTCTTAAAACCTGGCTATGGCTTCTCTCTAACACTTAGCATGCTTCCCTAACAACTCAAGGTATGAAAAGCTTTATTAATATTGGAACTAAGAACAGAAACATTAAATTTATTGCAAAAAGAATTAGTCCATTCTAAATCCAAAAGTAAATAAACTTTGAATTATTTGTCTGACCCTTCCATTCCATGATTCTAGGGAGTTCCTTCATTTCCCCCCTTAAACCATTTCTGAGTCCCACTTCATTCCATCGTTTTAGAGCCACTCTCTCTGTTTTACTAGACATCTTATCTTGATGGAAGGTTTTGGCCAATTCCAATCATTTTCTTCTTAAGTGGAAACCTGGAGGCAAGAACTTGAAATCTGTTTTCATATTTATATAGTCATTTTCCATTATACAGAATCCTTGTGTTTCTGGTAGCTTTCATTGATGAAATAATGTCTTATTCATTGTCAGGTCACAATTTTGTAGATTCCTGAGGTTGGGCCCATTTGAGCCCATCATCTCAGAGTCCTTTTGAAATGGTGACACCTCTTCCTTTATAAGGCTTCATAAGGCTTCATAAGGCTGCTCGGTGTTCACCTTCATCTTTAGATCCAAGATGCCTCCTGCCTAGTGTTCTTAGAAGTACATCTCAGTTCTCTTCACTCAGCCTGAAGAAAAAGAGTCTCTGCAAATAGAGACCTCCCCTCCCGCTACCGCCCCTTTCTGGCTCTTTCCTCCTCTCTTGGCCTTTCATTAATCCAAATAGGTTTAGCTAAGTGTGGGGTCTTTGTCATGCTCGCTTTGAAGGCCTAGGGCTTTCTGTATCTCTCCCTTATTTCCACTCACTCTATGGTATATGGTGAGGGTGGGGGAAACCAGGGTCCGTGGCTAAATCTCACTATACACCAATATCAGGGGACAGACTCTTGAAATTTAATCATTATATTTTAATACCTAAATTTTGGCTCCAGAAAGTGCATTGTTTATATTTCTAACTCTAAATTTTGCCAGGGGAAGTTCCACCTGTATATAAGAAGTTATTTTCTAACTCACAGTTTTATTTAATTTGTAGGACCTTCTCTCTAATTTGAAATCAAAAGGAACTTATGAAAGAGGATTGGGTGGGGAGGATTAGAAGGGTCAGAGCAAAGGCCCTGTGAGTTGAAAACCACAAAATAATGAAGAGAAAACATCCCAGGAGACTTAAGGCCAGTTTTCCAAAATAACTGAGGAACAAGTGATATTAACACTAGTAGCATAGAGGTGATACTACTACTTCTAGGCCAAGCAGTATTCTGAGCCCTTGATGCAAATTAACTCATTTAATCCTTGCAACAGGAGGCACTGTTTCCCCCCAGTCTTTCTTCTTAAGCACAGAGAAAGCCACATGACTGTGGCCATGGACTACAGCCAGAATTTGGAGGATCAGGTGTTCAGACTCAAGTCAGCTGACCCTAGAGATTCTGGTCTTCATTTCTTGGCTTTGTTTAGGATTTTAGGAAATTTGAGTTATCTTATCTTATAGAATTGCCAAGGAATAGTCTACCTATCTATAAACAAGGTATATTTTCATTATTGTTCGGTTTTTAACCTCAGAGCCTGACAACTTGTAGTTAACTTTCTCTTTGATGAAGGTCACCCAATATGTAGAAATTTTTTCTCCCAAGACATCCATCAGCTGGGGTTTTAAAAGTTGTGTGAATTTACATGTAGCATGTAAAGGATTATATTCTGCTTTTCTCCACTTTGGGGGGAGACGTAAAATGGCAAATCTTTAATACTACAAACTCCAATTCATAACCAGTTCTGTATCTAAACAGGGTCTTCCATGTTTGTGCCTGTTTCTTTGTGATTAGGGAAAAGAGTCACTTTATAAATTACACCATGTGTTGTTGTTCTGAGGAAGTAGAGGTTCCAGTGGTTTCTTTGAAAAGTCTGCTTCTAGAATGACATGCATCATTTATGTATGTTTTGCTCTCCTGCCTTTTAATCAGCTTGGACTCTTGTTTGCTCTCTTGGGATGAGTGGATTTAAATTTAGTGTGAGACCAAATGAAAAGGTGGGACCAGGACCATTTTGTGGTTTAACAAAAGAGGGCTTTACACAATTGTGCAAATATTATCAGTGGGACCTAGACTCCTTATAAAATTTGCCTGGAGAAATCAGCTATGCTCTTAACCCCAAATGTCTGGCTAGGAAAGATCATTGTCATTTTTAACCTTGCCACCACTCCAACTCCACTGTCATTATTATTCAGTGCCCACCATGTTTAAGATCCCACACAGACAGTGAAGTCAGTTACAATCTATGTCACCCATCTTTTTTAAAAAATATTTTTTAGTTGTGCATGGACTCATTATCTTTATTTTGTTTATTTACTTTTATGTGGTGCTGAGGATGGAACCCAGTGCCTCACACATGGGAGGCAAGCACTTTGCTGCTGAGCCACACCCCAGCCACCTGTGTCACCATCTTTTAGCTCCATGTTATGGGTAGAGTGGAGGACAAAGAGGATTACCATTTTGCCATTTTTATTTTAAAATACCTTTGGGAGAAAGAGGGGTCAGCCAATGTTCTGAATTCATGAATAGTGGTCCTGCTGCAGTGGTAGCATCATAGAAAAATGTTAGGGTTTCCAGCTATTCTTAAAACCTCACTTTCAGTTTGAGAGTAGTAAAGTGACCATTCAAGGTACTTCCTTTTTCCTTATCTACTTCAGCTTTGCTTTTTATGACAAAAAAAAAAAATGCAAAATGGCTCTGGTTTGCCTGAACATTTTGAGCTGTTCATAAATACCCAGTAATCAGGGAAGGTTGGCATGAGACCTTAGGAAGGCTGGGTTTGTGGTGCTGCAGGATGATGTCCTGTCCAGTTTTCATCTGCTGAGCCTAACAGATCAACAGTGGGCTTGGATCTGACCCCCTCAGGCCCTAAGACTAAAGTCTCTCTCAGCATTAAAATTCACACCAGGCATAGTGTGGCGCATGCCTCAAATCCCAGCAACTCAGGAGGCTGAGGCAGGAGGAACATCAACTTAGCAAGGCCCTAAGCAGCTCAGTGAGACCCTGTCTCTAAATAAAATACAAAAAGGACTGGGGATGAGGCTCAGTGGTTAAGCACCCCTGGGTTCAATCCCCAGTACCAAAAAAATAAAATAAAATTTGAAAATTCTGGGTTTCTTTTAGTTACCTTGGAGAACTTGGTTATACAGTGAAGCAAGTGAATAAATAGCACATCCAAAACTAGAAAATCAGACGTTCAAATGCAAATATAAGTTTACTTTCCCTTTCTCTTTTACCTGGTACCAAAAGAGCAACAGCTATTTTATCACAGAGATTTTGTATTGAAGTGATGACTGACTTGGTGTTTCATCTGAAGTTCTAGGAATGCAGCCTTTTGCTAGTCAACCATTCTTCTACACTGGAAAGAAAATGTCAGCTGAGAATATAAAAAAGTTTAAATAGAGGATAAATTTCAGTTTATTGGATTATTAAACTTTTATTGTGAGCCAATAAAGCTTTAAAATAGAAAAAGAAAGAAATGAAACAGATGACCAAGTAATTAGAGATGAATAGGTTCCATTTGTGCCTGTCATTAACATTTGGGTGAGAAGTCCCACCCTGTTTAACCCACCAGTTCTGCAGTTCTCTCTAACAGCTAATCGATGGAATGAATGACTAAAAAGGAAGGCTAAAAATCTATAAGTGAATGGGCAAGACTCCTAAGGTTTTCATAGGGAACAGTGCTTCCCAGGGCTGTTGTCGATAACAGTATGAAATTGCCAAGAGTCAAGTTATTGCTTGCTACAGGGCCACTCCCTGTTCCTCCCCAGACACACAAGGGAGAAACAAAAGTACATTTATAACCTGAAATTTCCCCTGCTTTGACATTTTCCCCTTATTTTCATGAATGAGCACCTTTTCTTTTGACACCTGCTGCTTCTCTTTCCAGCATGGTTACTTATGTGAGCCAGGAGGAGCCAATTCCAGCCAACCTCATAAGAAATCCATTCTCTTCCCTATTAAACAGCTTATTAGCAGAGGGCAAGGCCTCGAATATCTATTGTTATGAGCCACTGCCTTCCCCTCACAGTGAATGACAGTTATACCTGTTCTACCCATGGTCTGTCCCCACCTCCACCGCCCCTACCTCCTCCCCCTGCCCAGTCCTATCTGAGCAAATCCTGGATGGTTCATAGTGACTCATCTGGGTCAGTTTTCTCCTTCTAGTAATTTCCCAATCCTAGATTATTTTACTCCAGGTAATTAGGACAGATTATAATCATTAATCTCTGGGGGCTGCAGGTGTGGTTCAGTAATAGAGCATTTGCTTAGCATAAGCAAGACCCTGGGTCCAATCCCCAGCTCCACGATAGATCGATCGATAGATAAAATCATCTCTGGGAATCTCATTAACTCTATAATTTTTCCACTGTCCAGATTCGCCTCGTCACTTCTGGTGGTATCATTTAATCTGCTGGCTCCTGAGTGCCGCCGGGATCATCTGCATTCTTGTAGCGCATGAACACTACACTGTTGATGTGATCATTGCTTATTATATCACAACACGGCTCTTTTGGTGGTACCATTCAATGGCCAATGAAAAGGTGAGAGCAGTGACGATCCTCGGATGGTTTCTTTTCTTGAAATTCAGAGGACCCCTTTCATACTGTGGGGTTTGAGAGAGCTTCATGGGAATAACTGCTGGCCCCACCCAGATGTGGGGTTCAACAGTCCACTTATACTTAGAGCCACACCTGCTTCTTAATAGGAAGCCAAATAACTTCACAAAGAGAAAGGCCATGTAAAGAGAGGAATGCTGTAAAATCGCAGAGCACATTGTGGTGTTTTAGTAATTCAGCTGATTTATACTGGAATTGAAGAGAGAGATGTACTAGATTAAAATTTAGGACCCATCTCTGTACAAGTATCATGGGACAGCCTGGTACCTGCTCTATTCTCAAAGCACATAAATTAATTTTTAGAAAGAGAGACAGCCATGTTTTTTTTTTTTTTCTTTTTTAATCAGGCAAAACAAATGTCTTGTGAGTTACTGGCTTTGGTACATCTCTGGATGCCCTCTGGCTTCCCTTCTTCTCCTTCCTTATTTATTTCTGCTTCTTCCTATTCCCAGGGGGAACTGTTCTTTCTTCTCCTATTCATTCTTGCAGAGCTTCTAGAAAGCTTTCCCTAACTCCTCTCTCCCTCTGGTCCAAGGTAGATCTGCTCCTCCACTGCTCTTTTTCAAGTTTTGATGTGGTTTTTTAGTGTAATAGAGTTGGTCTGCAACTCCCAACACCTTGACTTACTTATCTCTGAATAAACTTCGCAGTATTTCTCAGTACATACAATGTTTGGAAAATTTGTGAGTGGTCGATATGTCATTCTGGAAAAACCTGCATCCATCTCTTGGTGTCCACTGATAAATACCTTTTCTACACATTCCTTTATTTCTTCTTGTAGTTCTCTCTCCTATTCTGTAGTTTACTGTTTCCATGTTCCTTCTTAACACTTCCTTCTAGATGCCTCTTCACACTACCAAATCAAACTTTTCGCCTTTCCTCTTCAATATGTTCAACCTTCTGAGCTCAAGTAGAGGCAGCTAGATGTGACACTCACACATTCTAGAAATCATTACTACTGAATACCATTCCCACGTCTCCCTTCTTACTGAAATTATAGGCAAAAGAAATGGCATGTGCCTCAAACAGGAAAAGGTGCTTTGGTATGTTGAGGACTAGAGTCACAGCAGAGTTGAGGAAAGGGGGTAACAGCAGTTACTGCCATGGGATACAGACTCGGCCTCCCCTGTTAAGTTACAATGAATGACCATTTAATTAAGAAAAAAGTTAGGGGACGAATCATGAAAGACGTCTCATTTTGCTTTTTTCCTCCCCTTTGCAGAACTTGAAAGTCTCTTCACAGACTAATTTCTTATCTCGAGCGTGGTGGTTCCCCATCTTTTATTTTTTTGAAAAAAATGTACAAGGCTCAATTCCTTGCTGCTTCTCCTGGCCACTGTCTTGGCCTCCTGGCTGCTTCAAGTCATCATGCAAAAAGTATTCACGGGTCCAAAAGATTGGTGAGGATAACGAGAAGTCTACCTGAGGATCCAGAGGCACCAGCTCTTACACCAAAAGAGTTTTCATGCTGCAACCAAAGGTATAGCTTTGTTTTTATTTTAGGAAAACAGACTGGTAAATGAAGACGTGGACCAAATTTTGTGTAAATGATTGGAAAAGATGAACAAAGTATTACTTTTTGACTGTTTTCTTTTTTAATTCAGCCTGAGAAAGATATATTTTCCTGCAGCTCTTCATTCATTGGAGACAAGCCCCCATCCTGGGATTTTACTAGTGAGCTTGTTAAAGAGGTGCCAAAGAACATATTACCCATTTTCTTATTCTTTCGCCACTAAAATCTTCTACTTCAGCATTCTTTCAGGATATTTTTTTCCTCCCAGGGTCAGAAGAATTTGTTAATGTTTTGAATAAAATGTCTGGATGTATACAGCCACTGTGTAAATAGAGGAGCCTAATGTTGAAAGTCGTTTTTAGCATTAGGCTTTGGGTGGGGAGGGCAGTCCCACGGCTGCGAGTCACATTTGGGTGCACTTTGGCTTCTACCCTGTCGCAGGGAAGGTTGGGGGGAGTCTAGGAATGCGCTCTGCTGCTACCACCCTATGCACTATGTATCACTTTTAGTCCTATGTTTTTAACTGACAATTTTATCTTTTTTTATTTTAAAAGGTGATCCAAGGAAATATAAAAGTATTTGACACACCCACAGATTTTACACATGTGTAAATATTTCACTTTCAAATATCTATGGCAGATACACAGGAAGCAGGGGGTTCCTTCTGCTAAGGAATGGCCCTCATGCACACACTTAGATGCAGCCTGACTGGCAGATTTGCATCTGGGACCCCAGGGATGTCAACTGCGCCAGCACAGGCTGGAAACATGCATGTGTGAACAGGTGCTCACACCCCTTGGGGAACAAGTATGTATTTCCCTTCCAGCTCAGGTGCTGGGGTAAAGTCTGTTTTAAGGTTCCTAATTGGAACCCCAAAAGATATCTGGGCACATTTCATTAAAAATTATTTCTTCCTAGTTGCATTGTACTTTATGGAAAAAACAAGACAGAGCCTGAAGGTTTAATGTACCTTTGCCTTTTATCAACAGCCTCAGCTCCCATACACTCTTCCTGAGGACATGTACCACCACTGAGTAATTTGACTTTTACCCTGTGAAAATTAATACATGGTGCTGTACTTTAATATGCTTTGGGAATCAACTTGTTAGACAGGCACAGCTACATGGAAAAAGAGGGATAATTGTTTCTAAATTTCATTGAGTTGATGCAAAACAGGTGGATTTTAAAAATCTGATCAGACTTAATACTATCAGAGTTAGTGCTTTATTTACTGCTATTGAAATTTTTGGATAATTCTTGGCTTAAATTCTTAACTAATTAAAGGTCAATTTGTAAGACTTCTAGTAAACTTAGAAAATATTCTATGAGGGCAGAGGTAGGATAGGCCAGTAGATTGGGATGAGGCAGTTACAAGTATATTAAAGGTGAAATTTCCTCTTACACGGGAAACATCTCTAAATTTATCATTATACACTAGTCAGCCTTGATTATACAAAATTGGCCATTAAATTGCTTGAGAAAAGCACAATATAGATCTGTTCAGAGAGGTCATTATCCTTTGGTGCTAAAATTCTATGTAGTTTTCAGAGTGTTTTTTTTTTTTCCCTCCTCTATGTAATAGAAGAATCACTAAAGGAAAAGTGGTTGAATTCAAAGACCAGGAGAAGGCTCTCTAATCTGGTTATTTTAAATAAGAATTAAAACCTTAAACATCTTGGCAGATTTTGAAACACAAGGATTTTTTTCCAGTATTTTTATTATATAAAATGATAATAAACATATGCCTTGTGTGTTTAGACATCATTCTATGTAATTTTTGCTTAAGTGTATCTATTAAATATTGCCAATTGTGATAGCACAAGGTGTTTCGCTTGAAAACACTGATTTTAAATTCCATTGTCTGATTAGGAGGAAAATCATCAGACAGTAAAGCCTAGATACTGCTCCCTGAGCCTCTAATTCAAATAAAACAATCTAATGTCCCTTAGAGCCTCACTCATCTGTGTCTTGGATAACCCACTTTTCTCCAACTGAATAAGGAAAAGTGCTTAAGCTTTAAAAATCCATCTGTATGTATTGATTATTGGACACCTTTGAAACAGTAAGCCTCGCACTTATATCAAGTAATTCACTTTTTAAAAAAATAATATCTTCACCTTCTCAAGAACTTTATAAACACCCATGACCCAGGGTGTGGACACTACTGCTCCCATGTAGTCTACACAAGATGTGCCATAGCTTTCTGACAGGTGCTGAGGGAGAATGTGGATTGAAAATAAAGGGTGGGGGTCCGTTCAAAGAGTCAAGATGGGAAAAGAAGAGAAATAGTGAAACTCATTGACATGTGGGAAAGCAAACATGGGATTTACCCCAACATGCTACTCTGAGATAGATAGAAAACAAACAATTATGATCTTGTGAAACAGCAAATTTTTGCAACATCTTTTCTTTGCCAGTGAAGATTCATATCTTATCCATTATCCATGTTTTTGTAAGCCTGTGCTCCTGTTGAAACCTTTTCTTGTAATTTAGTCCCTCTATGAAATAGCTATAATAGATAATGCCTATAAATTATGCTATACCTTTTCCTAAATTCTTTCCAATGGAAATGAAGTTCTCTCAGATTCTAGTTTTCAAGCTCCTCCAYTAGATCTGAAAAAGAAAGCATTCTTCCCCCAGTTCCATCTGAATAAATGACAAATTTGTCATTTAATTAACCGGCATCTTGGGAAATAAGTTTTGCTGTGGAAGACAGGCTATTTGGAGAGTAAGCTTGAAAGCTGTTTTGTGGGTGACGTGGCATTAGGGTCACTAGAGGGTTTTTGCTGTATTACCAGCGCCCCCTTGTGGCTATAGGTTATATGTCTTGGAAAGCAGAGGTCACTTTATAGTGTGTATTTTTGTTTTTAAAGGCATTTGTTTTTCAATTTTTGCCAACTGAAACTATGGGGGGAAAGTTATTTTAGAGACATTTCAAGCCCTTCCCACTTGTAAAATGTGCTCAGATTATAGGAAGCTGCAATTTGAATCTTTCATCCATATGATCAAAGAAAATTTGCAGACCATTTTTACCTCTAGCTACACAATCATTAATGTCTCCCTTTATAACTACCTACACTTTTGTTTACTTTGAAACCCCAAGTCAGCTGTCTTTCTTATTTTTTAAAATTTACATGCTCAAACTCGTAAGTTTCCTTTGTATTTGAAAGCTCACATCCTGTTCCTTGAATATTTTGAACATTTCATTTACTGTTGTTGTTTTAATTTTGTACTGTAAAACTGATTAAACACTTAAGCCGGTCTTAACGCACTCACCTCTGTAGTGTAAGGAAGTGTGAGAAGGAATTTCTTAATAAATGCGTTTACATCTTTTAAATCAAGCATATTATAAGTTATGTGTAATGTGTGGAAGGCTTTTCTATTTTTATGTATAAAGATTCCTCATATTTGTGTTTTTAATGTCATTGTGTTGCAATAATTTAACTCCTTTGACTCAGTTGCTGAAAATATTGCTTTTATGAAGAAGTGCTCTTGACTTCATTATCCAAACACTGCAAATCATGTCAAAGGTACCCAAAGATAAGACTTTACAAATAGACACCTTGTAAGTTCTGAGTTATTTTTACTTAATAACTATATTTGTGTTCTAAATGAATCATGAAAGAAGAGTGCTGTCTTGTGGAATTATTTTAAATTGTCCTTTAAAAGAAAAACTATAAACATAAGCTAATCTAGTTGCCAAGTTGGAATTTATTATTTAATTTACCTCCTATGCAATGATTAATGCTGCAAAATGTATGGTTATGTTACAGTATATTCACAAAAGAAATATTATTACAAGGTTTTGAGGGATAGCCAGTTGCATTCTTTTGGAAATTTACTGTACTATTTCAATGTGTTAAGTGCCTTGTTGTAAAGTAAAATTTTAAGTCTAGAACTCATTATTTTCCTGACATATATTTTCATTATGATATCTACTGTATGCTATTGAAGAGTTTATTAATCAAATATGTAAATTTCAGAAACTGTTATCTCCTACCCACCAGTACCTTAATCATTGATCTATCATATGAGATTTGAATTCAGGTTCTTTTTTCTTTTCTTTTTCCTTTTTTCTTTCTTTCTTTTTTTTTTAACGAGAGGAAATTTTTGTTGTTGTGTTTAGAAATATTTTCCATGCTTGTGCTTTTGTATTTGTAAAAAAAAAAAATATTTCAGGAGGAATTTAGAAGTTATAACTACTGTTTATACTTCTAAAAGTACCGTCTTACATTTGCATTTTAAGTGCCTAATTGTTAGTTAAACTAATTTATGTTTCTATTCAAAAGAGGATTTGTGTACTTGGTTTTTAATCCCTTTGGTTTTGCTTTAAAGAGCCTATACTTTGTATTTATCCAATAAACCACAGTGACATCAACAGTCTTTTCAAAATTAGTATTACTGTTTCTTTCAATTTAACAGAATGTGTTCTTGTATTTATTTAGTAGTAAAGTACTTAATAAAACCACCAGAGGGTTATTTTCTTCTAGCACTATTTTAAAAATAAGGTGACAACCTCCAGTTAATGGAACCATGAGTCAACTGCACAGTATTATTTTTCCTGCCGTTAAATTTAAAATAAAAAATAAGGTATAACAATATAAGTTCATTTATGGAAAAAAAAATCATTACATGCTCTGATTCTGATTTTCTGTTTACAAATGGGCAAAAATCATTAATTCTTTAAAGAAAGCAGAGTCCTGCCGCTCATTTCTGAAAGAAATGTCTCCTTGTGCCTCCACCAAGCGATCTGAGGTCAATGCGATCTGAGGTCAATGCCCTCTGAATGCCTTAGTCTTTGTCAAAGCAGGTTGCAGGGTGTTATTTTTAGACCCCTTGATGAATGATGAGAGCATGATTCCCTACCCAAAAGTCAAAGTTAGTGAAAGTAGTTCAATGGGTCAAAGGGAGTAGGATAAGATACTGAGGTTCAAAGATCAGGCATTATTGAATATAGATATTATCTGGAAATGATAGAGAAAAGTAAAGTTTTTCCACCACATCCACCCAGGCCTGGGATAGAAAGCTCATCATGCCTAAGTCCTGTCCTTTTTGAAACATTGCATGCTGATTTTGCCGGCCACGGCCCCAGACTGCCCTTATGCCCTTGTCTAGAATGTGTTGTACGAGAGGCTAATGTGAACTCTTGCTCTTCATACAGGGGACCAGGCAGCTCTTATTAGTTGGTGGATACATTCTGGGTTCCATTGTTCTCTTTATATGAAAACTTTTGATGCCCCTCCTCTGAGAGGGTAAAAATCTCTAGACATTTTTAAAATGGCAATTCTCTTTTTTAAGCTAATTCCAATTAACAAAT